TTACTAGCAGTAGAGCCCGGCGTTGCCCGGGGATGTAACCGTAAAAGATAGATCAAGTATCGACCATCATAAAGATTGAAAAATAAAATTGACAAAGATTATTGTTTAAGATTGAAGGACACACATGTCTTAATTATTTTTTTTTTTTTTTTTTTTACGAATTGGTCAAACCCAAATTCAAACAAAAAGATTGTTTTCAATCGTTATGATGAGTCTACCGATTGAATAGAATTTTTTTATAAACAATTGTCTTGTAAATGGAATTTTTAAAGCATTCTGAATGTAAAAATAAAGAAAAAAGTGTGCATGACAATAAGAAACGCTACCTGCCAAAAAAAAAGTGAAGTTTTGCTGAAATCGGTTGAAAAATGTAGGAAATCCGATCCCATATATAAATGAACACACACACACACACATACACACAAACAACTTGGGTTTTATAATAAGTATAACTCGATATGAGTTGTCCCCCTTTCATTCTCGTGATGACTCTTAATCGTGTTTTCAAATTGATTTCGTGCAAAAACAATAGTGTTTTTCCAATTTTTGGTGCTGTTAGAACCACCGCAGGGTAATTTTACGTAGTCTTGTGAAGTTTTGTTGAAATCGGTTGAAAAATGTAGGAAATCGTATCCAATATATAAACGTACACACACACACACACACACACACACACACACACACACACACACACACACACACACACAATCTGCGTTTTATAATAAGTAAGATTTCCGACTAATTAGAAACATTTGCTCCACATTACCTTCCCATATTTAGGGCAATGTTTTCATTCTGGCGAGCTTTTATACAGACGATTTTATTTTGGAATAATATTGCTTTTCAACAATACTCTATTCCACTTTCTGAAATATATGCTGTTTGGCTATGCATAGTGCTTTTGTATTGATATCAGTTGTAAGCTGATATTTTGCTAAGGACCCACCTGCCACGCATCGCAGAAACCGCTCTGACAATTATCTCTCTTGGCAAAGTAGGTCAGCTTAACAGAGTGAATTTCCCAAGAAACAGGTTAAAAGATCCTGACGAAGAAGGTCACTGATTGAACCGAGATTCGGAGTTTTTGATGAATGTATTTTTTAGATGAGATTGAAAAGACAAAGAACGATGTTTTCTATAAGACAGTGGTCACTAGCAGTTGAATCCAAAGACACACAGAGAACACACAGAGGGACGAGAGATTTCACGCTGATAGACGAAAGGTATACGCCCATTAGACGATTATCCCCCTTCAACTAAGCCTCGCCTTACCTCGCTTGTCTCCAATGGAAAGTTAAATCAAAAATAAAATTATTCAATATGTTCTTCATGACGGGGGTATAGACCTACAATTGCCTGAGGTGATTGCTGAACTATAGGACTGGGTCCTTAAGAAAAGAATCAACCTACACCACGTCAAAAGCAAGAAGAGCAGGTGAAATAATGTTTTTGCTTAATACTAACCGCAGTAAGAAATAAGTAAGCAAAATTTGGTTCTACAGAAGGATGCTAAGGATATAATGGGCCAGACATATGAGCAACGATGAAGTTTTGGAGAGAATGGAAACAAAGAGTAAACTTATACTTAACATCAGGAAGAGGCAGTTGTAAATACTGGGACATGTAATGAGGAAAGAAGGCTTGGAATATCTGATACTCACAGGACGGATAGAGGGAAAGAGTGACAGGGCAAAGCAAAGCGTGATATACGTAATGGAGTTAAGCAAGTGGATGGCGGAACAGGGTCTGAGAGAAATAATAAAAAGACAAAAGCTATTAAGAGCTACAACGCAGAGGAGGATATGGAGGGCCATGATCACAGACGTCCTGAAGGGATACGGCACATAAAAAAAAAAGTATGACAATAAAATTATAGGTTGCTTCACAGTTGATGATGTCAAGATAAATGGCGGATATTATTCTGCCTTCCTGGGCGAGGAGATTCTTGAATGGCACAGGTTCCAACGCCAAGCGAAAGAGAAGATTCATTCTCAACAATACGCCTTCGGATTCTGCATAATTGAACATCGCATCTCTTGCCAAAATGTTTTCAAAGATACCTAATTAATGGAATGGTTCCCAGCCTCTACAAATATTAATGCAATAGAAAACGTTTGGTCTATCATAAAACGAGATGAATGTGTGAATGTATAACAACATGGAAGCTATAAAAACCACCAGGAAACAATAAAAACTGCTGGACGTAATGTTAAAGTAGGCATAGCTTAAAATTGAAAAAAAACTATAGATAAAGAAAAAGTAAGAATTATCTAATGGGAGTACTCCCATGTTAACATATAAAATATTTTCTTTTAGGTATATGCAATATTGTGTTGATCAAATATATGTTTATCTGAACGAAATAATTTGGATTTATTTATAATGATCATGTTTCTTTTTGTTTACCAAATAGAACCTGACTTATTAATTTCACCGCTTGCAAGACTAAACTTCTCACCATTAATCACGTGAGAGATCTCTCTCTGCTTTCCATCAGCATGGCTTTTGCTAACCTCCAAGAAAGTGACTCGTTGTGCCTCGATTTAACCCTGAGGAGCGAGGAACGATAAACATTTAGTAAATTTTCTTTCTTTTTATATTTTTGTGTCATCACTTTACTATATTCTTCTTTTATTTGCTCTTCCTCAACAAAATTTAAAAATCATATTTGTATACAGTGCTGTTCGATAAAAGTGACTCACCTGATTTTTTTTTTTTTTACTAAATGTTCTCTTCTCCGATGAAACGAAAGTTGAGCTAAATTCAAAGGATAAGCGATCTAAAATCTGAAAAAGAAGCTTTGAAAGCTCTTTGAATTTAGCATTAAGTACTGTCAAGCATCCGTTCAGTATAATGTTCTGGGGATGTTTTTCTTTTCATGGAACTGGTTTCTTAAAACCTATTGAAAATACCCTCATGAGCGAGCAGTACAAGAGAATTTTAGAGTCTTTTCTGCTCCCTTCTGCTGAAAGGGTGCAAATCGACCCCACCAAGCTCATTTTTATGCAGGATAATGCTCCCTGTCACAAATCAAAATTGATGAAGGAATACTTTGATGAGAAGCAGGTGAGGGTTAAGACATGGGCGCCCCAATCTCCTGACATCAACCCCATAGAAAACTTATGAAGCATGTTGCTCAATTGCTTTCTCGAGAGCCTATACGTTATAATGTTCCAGATTTTTTTTACTCGGTAGCTTGCCATTTCTTTCTGTGGTAGACCAGTTGCCATTCATGGCTATATAAACCCAGTCTGTCCTGATATTTATCCATAATTGCGGGGAGAAGAAGAGGATTCATATCTTTCCCGAGGGTATTAGCACGTAAATGAATTTAATGGAATCGATTGAAATTCGAACTCTGCTCTCCGATTCCTCAATTCCAGCCGCTATCAATTACTCGACCTAGCAGTTGCATGTAATTTCAGGAATGTTTCCATGGAAGCTACTTTCTAATCAAATCTCGTATATTCTTTTAAAATGTCAGTTCTTAAAGCAATAATATAGATATTATTAAATGAAAATATCAAGATATTTATCTCAGGTAAATATAAGTAGACAATGGAATTTTGAAAAAACGGTTGCGTACTACTAATTTCAGTATCTGTCTATATTTCTGAGATGAGGTATTATGTATACGATTTACATTATTCGGACTATTGTCATCATCTTTGTCGCTATATTTATTACAACGTTTCGGTCGTTGTACGCTCTGGCCTTCTTCTGGTGGTTGGAATGTCGAACTGAACCTTTTTTTTTCGCTCACTGGGGCAGACATTTCTACTTACACGTGTCATGTTTTTAATGGATTTCAGTTATCAGTTATCTCCTGTTAATTTCCCTCTCCAAATTCTCTACTGCCTTAACCGGGTATTGAACTCACACTGTTTGTGTCTTTTGACTGGAAAAATACGACAAAATGGAAATAATAACGGAATTATTCGTTTTGTTTTAATTAATTTGAACAAGGGCGGATATTGCCTGTTCATACGCTAATACATCTTTACACAGTAAACTCTCACTCGGGTCTTGTATTTGTTGGAGATTTGTAAAACAAAATCCACTAAGACACAAGAGGTTTATGAAAAAAATATAAGAAAAAATATTAGGTATTTTAAGAGCTATAAAATAAACGGAATTAAGAAGATGGAAAAGAAAGATTGGTGTACTTAAATTTTCGTAGATCAAAATTGTCGGAAAAGCAACAATGCAGAAGAGAGTTGCTGCAAGTTAACACATCTAATTCTAATATTTCATTTGCGAAGACTTTTACTTTAAAATTTAAATATCTGAGCATTGCTGTTCAAAGCATAAAATATTTTGTGAAGTCTTGGTTCGTAATAGAAAAGTGTTAGCATACAAATGAATGAAAATTTTCAGTCAGTTGCTATATCAATATAAGAATAGAGGGTGCGTACAAGTTGTCGATTTTGCTAGTTTTAAACTTCGGTGTTCGTCTGCTCATATCGATCTATGTTGGACGAGAGCCACGCTAATTAGAAGCCGGTCACCTCTGCCCAGACGTGAACGAATATTCATTATGCATACATCTGCAAAATCTCTGTAAAAATTCCGTCTATTAAGCGAGATTTTGAAAGTTTAATTTCCGCGTAAAGAATATAGGGAATTGTAGAACAGAAGATTTGGCAGTTCTGAAAATGGAACCGAGAAGTTTATCGCAGAGATTGGGATAAAGATGTTATGATTAATTAATTCTGTTTCATTATATTCGAAGTTGCGCTTATATGAACGCGAAATTATAGATAGATAAGATGGAAACTGAGGTAGATAAATATAAACAGATGGAGATAGAGAGATAGATATGAACAAATTGAGATCAATAGATAGAAAGATAGATAGATTGATTGATTGATTGATTGATTTGAGAAAACAAAATATTCTGTCGTTCGTTTTGATAACATAAAAATTATAGTTTATTTTAAAAGTAAATGTTTGAAAATAGATATGAACCGACTGAAATACACAGACAGATAGATGCATACTGATGAAATTGAGATAGATATGAACAGATTGAAATTGATAGATAGATAGATAGATAGATAGATAGATAGATAGATAGATAATAAACAAACTGGAATAGATAGATAGATAGATAGATAGATAGATAGATAGATAGATATGAACAGACTGAAATAGACAGATAGATAGATGTGAACAGGCTGAAATAGATGAATATAGAGATATGAACAGACTGAAACAGATAGATAGATATGAACAGACTGAAATAGATAGATAGATAGATAGATAGATAGATAGATGGGGGATATAAAAATAACATTTTATATATCAAAACAATGTTAGGTAAATTAATGAAAAAGTGTAAAAATTCTGTATAAGACGTTTAAATTTTCAGCATTTCATCGGTGGAATTTCCATACTTTGTCATTAACAGGCAGACAGACAGACAGATAGATAGATAGATAGATATATAGATAGATAGATAGATTATATATAAATATAAATAAAAATATATCTACACACACATCACTGTGTCACATTTTTCAATTAAAAGGACAAAACTCTCTAACTTTCATTAGCTCATCTTCTTCTATATAATAAATGCGAATGACAAAGTGTAACACTTTCTTCAGCTGTATTCCTAAAGGGAGTAACCAAATATATACCATTTTGGAATCAGGCCGACTCCGTCAGTAAATTAAAAACATACTGGGTTGGATCCGCACCCACAATCCTGAAGTGCTGGATTCCCAAGTTTTCATTATTGTTTACGTTTTTGGCATTTTTTTACATGAGTTTTTGCGAGGAATTTTTTTCGTACGATAACAATTTTTTATAATTTCTAAATAAATTTAGAAATAATCAAAATTAATTGCGAAATCCAGCGAAAGTCACCCATGAAATAAAGATAACTGTTTGTACGGAAAGTAAGGACCTACGTACATCAGAATTTCTTTGAATTAAGTGGCGTCAGAAGAATTATCCTCGAACTTTTAAAATGTAAGCTTAAATATTAATGCAATACTTAAATACAGCGATCAATTTTGAGTTCTTCTAAAGCTTATTGTTGCCTGTCGCATGTACCCCTTCCTACCTATGAAGAACGCCCGATAAAGATCTCTCCACAGCAGGTGGCTTAAATGCCACGCAATAGTGCGGCTTTGAACTTGTATATATGTATAGATATATAGAGATAACTAGATAGATAACTTGCTATTTACTGTCGGTTAGATAAAAACGAATGGTAATACTTAATCTCAGCTGTCTTTAGTAAATTCAGGTTTCATTTCTCGCCATCTTCAAGAGATATCAGTCATTGTTGACATGCTTTTCAGTTGATTTCTTGTACTTCTTCATAGAACCAACGACTAATGAATCGCGAAATGCATTTCACCTAGTGCAACAGGGTAGCCTGTTCTTCCCAACGCGGTATTCAATCAACCATGATATTCCCCAGTATTTACAGTTGTTTAAGCGAGATATATAGTTGAAGGTGGTTTCAATGGCATCTCCCCAACTGTCGATAATTATTCACTTTCTTTGCTATACACTTGCGGTCAGTGAACTTATTTGGTTTTGGTAGCTGACCGAAGTGGATTTTTGTATGTTCTCAGCTAAATTGTAGACCCCGGGAAAAAATCAAGTCACTAAGGTAATCATGCCCACCGCAAGGCCTTCAAATGATCTCATCATGTCGAAGGTGTGAGTGCTTACGCGCCAAAAACTTTTTGTCGAAAGTGGAAAAGAGAAAGAATAATGAGATGTCAGAAGAAGAAGAAGACATTGGGAGGAGGAAAAGGAAAAGAAGAAAGTAACGGATAAAAGAAGAAGAAGAAGAAGGTTAAGGCATTGGGAGTAGGAGAAGGAAAAGAAGAAAGTTACGGATAAAAGAAGAAGAAGAAGAAGGTTAAGGCATTGGGAGTAGGAGAAGGAAAAGAAGAAAGTTACGGATAAAAGAAGAAGAAGAAGAAGGTTAAGGCATTGGGAGTAGGAGAAGGAAAAGAAGAAAGTTACGGATAAAAGAAGAAGAAGAAGAAGGTTAAGGCATTGGGAGTAGGAGAAGGAAAAGAGGAAAGTTACGGATAAAAGAAGAAGAAGAAGAAGAAGAAGAAGAAGAAGAAGAAGAAGAAGAAGAAGAAGAAGGTTAAGACATTGGGAGGAGGAGAAGGAAAAGAAGAAAGTAACGGATAAAAGAAGAAGAAGAAGAAGAAGAAGAAGAAGAAGAAGAAGGTTAAGACATTGGGAGGAGGAGAAGGAAAAGAAGAAAGTAACGGATAAAAAAGAAGAAGAAGAAGAAGAAGAAGAAGAAGAAGAAGAAGAAGAAGAAGAAGAAGAAGAAGGTTAAGACATTGGGAGGAGGAGAAGGAAAAGAAGAAAGTAACGGATAAAAGAAGAAGAAGACGACGACAATGGGAGGAGAAGGAATAGAACTGATAGAAGAAAAAAATAATAAGAATAATAATAAAATAATAAGGTGATTATGAAGGAAAGAAGGAGAAAAAGAAGGAAAAGGCAATGGTGAAAAGCCAGGTGGGAAGAGAGAAAAGGAAGAAGGGAAGAAGAGATGGATAAAACAAAGAGGGGGAAATGAGAAAAATGTGAGAAGGGGTAAGATGAAAAGTGAAAGAGAATTAGAACGAATTGGCAGAGATGAAACAATAGCTAATGGGGTGAGGGAGGGAAATAAAGGAGGAGTCGAAAGGTGAGTAGGAGGATGAAAAAGTACAAAAAAATGAGAGAATCGTGTAATGTGAGAATAAAGAAGAAAAAGAGAATTTAAAAGAGCAAGAGTTTCCTTTTTTGGAAAAGAAGGGAATTAAAGTGAAGAGAATAATAATAATAATAATAATAATAATAATAATAATAATAATAATAATAATAATAGTTCCAGGGGTACAAATGAATAAGAGGAAGAAGGTCAAATCAAGAGCAGTGAAAAGAATTTCATGAAAGAAGGAGAGGGAGAAGATGAACATGAAATAGTAGAAGAAGAAGAAGAAGAAGAAGAAGAAGAAGAAGAAGAAGAAGAAGAAGAAAAAAAGGCTAACTGATGAGGATGAAACAAGGGATAAAGTAGAAAAAAGGAGGAGGAAAAAAGAATAGGAATAAAAAGAAGAAAAAAGAAGAAAAGGGAGCAGACGAAGATGAAAAAGAAGATAAAGAAGAGGAAGGAGAAAAGACGAACAGAAGAAGAAGATGATGAAGAAGAAGAAGAGGGAGAAAATCAAGATTAAAAAGGAGAAGTTATAGGAAGCAAAAAGAAAAAAGAAGAAGGAAAAGAAAGAAAAGAAGAAGAAGAGGAAGAAGAATAAGAGAAAAAAGAAGAATAGGAAGAAGATGAAGATGAAAAAAGATAAGAAGGAGAAGAAGAAGATGGAGATAATGATGAAAAAAAGAAGAAGAAGAAGAACAACAACAACAAGAGGAAGAAGAAGGGAGGAATAAGTAAAAGAAAACGGGAATAGAGATTAATGTAAATAAAAAAAAATGAAAAAAAATAAAGTAAAAATAAATTTATAGAAAAAAGACGAAGATGGGGAAGGATGTGAAAATATGATCTGTAAAAGAAGAAGAAACGGAAGAAAGTGAAAATGTTAGTAATAAAAATAGCTTCATGAAAAGAAGAAGAGAAAAAATAAGCAAGAGAATAAATTAAAAAAACAAGAAAAATACTCAATAAAAATGTCGGGGAAAACGAAAACAAAAAAAAAAAAAAAAAAAAAAAAAGAAAGAAAGAAGTGTAGAATTAGTTGAATTAGTAAGAAAAGAAATAAAAGGAAAAGAAGATTTTCGATGAAATAATATTCTCGTTTTGTCGAGCAGAAAATTGGTGAGATCTCGCGATCTCTAATTACACTAGTGTTAGCTGATCTGAAAGACATTAAGCAGGTTTTTTCTCACGCCGAGATCGACAGGTACATCACATTCTATTGGTGAACAGTTCCGGGGTTTATTCTTCGATTAGTTTGGAATTGTCCGATCTTGCTAACAGATAAGCTCGGCATATCCGATGATTGATTTAAAGAGAAAAGGAAACGTAATTACTTTTCAACTAAATATTAGATTGATAATAATTTTGGAAGTAGCAAAAATCAAATGAATATTTTATTTTATGTCAATCTAATAGAAAACCAATGCATGCGCAGTGGGGTAATGGATACTGGCTAAGAATTAGAGAGCAGAGTTCGAATCCCAGCCGAGTTCGCTCTATTAACTTGCGTGCAAATGGCCCTGAGGAATGTATGAATCAATCTCTTTTCCCTGCAGCTGCGTGAAAATGAAATAAGAAGACTGAACCTATAGCCTTGGTTGGCAACCAGTCTAAGGGAAGGAAGACTCTGAATTCAAACCAGACTAGAGAAAGTTCAGGCTATCTTGCCCCAAACATTTTCTATAGTATAGGTGGTGCCCCTAAGATGGATTAAGCGAGTAGGGAGAGACAAAGAAAGTGAGAGATAAAAGAGAGAGTGAATATAAACATCATGTCAGGTTAAATATATATATATATATATATATATATATATATATATATATATATAATTAAATTAATTGATTTAAAATATGTTTTTTCTACACAGTTCTAACAATGTTTCAAAATGGAAGCTAAAACGTTCGAATTTAATTTTGTAATTAAATTAAAGACATTAGTTCCATTTCATTCTCAAGCTAATATTAATGCTCTGTAAATTTACATTGAGCACTATTTTGTAAAAATAAAAATGTCTATAAGAACACCGGATTATATATCTTACTGTTCTTGTTATATATATATATATATATATATATATATATATATATATATATATATATATATTAGGCAGCATTTTTCATTCATACAAGTTTCATTAAATAATATAGTCAAGTGTTGTCTATTTATTTTATGTAAATTCTTTTCATAACGTCTGATAAGCTTAATAACATTATCATAAAACGAAGAAAGAAATTCACAATATGGATCAATATTGTGATTTTCTTTCTTCTTTCTTCGTTTAATGATAAAGTTATTGCTTATCAGACGTTATGAAAAGAATTTACAAAAAATAAATAAACATTTGTCTATATTATTTAATCAAACATATATATATATATATATATATATATATATATATATATATATATATGCATTAATACGACAGATTCTATCACTTAAACGTTATTTTTAGTGGTTACACATATTTGTGTAGACACACGTTTATTTAAAAAATTGTGTATTTTTTTTATCTTTGTCTATCGACCTGAATATTAGAAAAACCTTCTTAAAGAAAAATATATATTACCCAGCAGGATTCTAACTAGTTCCCACTTTTGCGGGAGAAACTG